GTTTCTTTTGAATAAAGTCTGAAAGTTTCTCCCACATTCCCAACATTTCCTTTATCTCACCATGTCTGACAACGGAGTGAATGCCGGCCCTCTTTTTAAAATTTTCGAACCAGCCCTGACTGGCTTTAAATGGCTCGCCCAATGCCTCGTTCATTGAAGTGCCTGGGGTCTGCTGCAGCAAATCAGCGTAAATAGCTCGTGCCTTCTCGCAGATTATAGCCTTCATCATGGTATCTCCTGCGAGCTGCTTCTCTGTTAACCACACCATTAGCAGCTTCTCCATATTTTCATGGATAGATGTCCGCTGTTTAGAAATTATTTTAACGCCCTTGGCTGGAGTTGTAGCCTGTATCGACTCCTTCTGCTTCAGTATGGTGCAGATCGTAGGAGTGCTATGCTCGTACTGCTTCGCCAAGTTGATTACACGCACACCTTGGTCATGTTTTTCGATAATTTCTTTCTTTAATTCAATGCACATCATCCGCTTCTTCTTCTCAGCACAGTCTTTCGCACTTACTTTCTGCAGATCCATGGTTGAAAAAAGGAAGTTTTGCAAAATAACTGCAAGCACAAATGCGAGCACAACACTGATGCTTCAACTAAGAGCTAATCGCCTAAAGTGAACGAGTGAGACACCCGATGCTGGGCTGATGTTGTGGCGTTCACTGTGACGTTTGCTGAGCCAGCTATCGGTGGGGTATCTGAAGCTGGCTCGTAACCCGAATTTTAGCTCGCAACTCAAAGCAAACAATCAGCCGAGAGACGGCTCATATCTCGAAAAACTCGTTAGTCGGGACACTCGTAAGTCAAGGCACCACTGTATACATATATAATTCTATGAAGCTAATACTGATTAAACACAGCACAAAGGGATTAATTCACACTACTGAAAAAAAACAAAACATAATAGGACCCTAATTGCATATGTAACCACAGGAATTGTACATTTTAAAAAAAGCTAAATGTCTTCGCTAAAGCTTTGCATCTCTCTGTAAAAATGACGATTTGGTTCAGTGAAGACACTGAATGATTCAATGTCCATGACTGCGTGCCAAGGTTGACCCATGCCCAGGGATACCTGCTCAATAAGGTTATGCACTGGATCCACATCCTGGTCGACCGGTTCACCTGGGTCAAAATCAATGCTTTCTTCAGTGACTTCAAGTACTTTTAGATTAGAGCCACGAAGACGAGCAATGGCAATGAGGCCGTGTGCCCACACTGTGTAACCGTGAATTGCCAGAAAAGAAAGCTTTGTGCATCTCCTCGCTAATAACACCAATGGATCTTCGTTTCCGTTATTACTAAGATCTGGAAAAGCAGACATGTCAAGCACATCATTCATTAATATAAAATGAGTGAGGAACTTGTCATATTGCCTAGATATGAGATCAACAATAGCTCCAGTGATGTAGCTGTCAAAATGAATCCTCTCTAGTGGTATACTGGGTTTCAGAATATTTAACATCTCTTCACTCATAATATCAAAAGCCATGATATAGACCCGGAGGGGGCTCCTTCTTCGTGACAAGGCTTTCCAATGCTCATCATTTGGCATGTTGTCCAGAGACTTGTGCATCACAGAAATATCGTGGACCAGGAGAGACAGTCGCTGCAAAGGCACATGGTTGCTATCGCTTAAGACTCTTGCCATCTCAGCTGTAAAGTCCCAGAAATCCAGGGCAAGTGAGCGCAGATTCACAAATCGCTCTAGTTCCACTGTAGTGATAAGAGTGCGGTTACCAGGAATATTGTTTTCCAGTAAACTCAAGTGCTCCATGGTGTTGGCAGTAGAGTTTGAGAGAGATGACAGTGATGTTGGGGTTACTATTTCCAGCTGAAACCCACAGGACAGCCATTTCAGTCGCCTACTATTACTCAGTATTTCTTCAAACAGCTGCTGAATTTGCTTGATTTTTTTGCCATCAGGGTCCACCTTGCTGAGGTATGTATTTGACAAATTTCCTTGCTGTTGTGGAACGCTTATATCTCCAAAAAGGCTAAACTTCTGGAGGTTCCTGTTGTTCCGGACGCTGACCAGCACGCACAGCACCAGCTCCAAGTAGGTGCGCAGCTCTTCCAACCAAGGGGTAGAGAGCTGCAAGGCCTTGACTTCTTTCCCGCCGGTCCCGGGGTTCGCGCTGCCTCCGCTCAGGTAATCCGCGGAGGCGAACTCAACGCGCAGCTCCCGCACGAACCAGCCGCACTTGCGCATGAGGAACTCGAGCCGAGGCTGCTCCGCCCGGGAGACCGGGAGGCAGACGCGGTCGGCCGCCGGCAGGAAGGAGAAGATGTGCACGATCAGCTCGCTGGGCAGTGACGCGGCCCCCGCCGCCTGCCCGCACAGAGCCATCCGGCCACGAACCAAGTCCAGCTCAAGTGGCAGAGAGGAGGAAAGGCCCCGGAGAACCAGCCGCTAGCCTCTCAACCTTGACTCACAGCCTCGGAGGCCTGCAGGCTCAGTTACTTCAAAACCGTCCTCTGGCCTATTTCTGCCGGGGTCCAGCCACAGCGGTCCAGGGGTTCCCAAAGGTGAGGACGGAGTCGGCGAAGAATGAAGGACACAGAGACAGAGTTCAGATCATCAGCATAGCCAGGTTCTCTAGCCAGGTTCTCCAGCCAGGTTCTGTCTTTATTCTCTTGTTACATCTGTATTTATACCAGTTGATTTTAATCCTATCCATTCTATTGAAAGGTTAGGGCGTTTCATAGGTCTATTTTTTAATGTGTATTTTATTTAATCTTTTCATTAAGAAGATTAAATGAGAAGTAGATATTATTATTACCCTTATTTTATAGATGATAAATGGGAGGTACAGAGCTGTTAAAGTAGCTTATCCTCAGCCACACTAGTGAATGGTAAAGCCAAGATTTGAATCTATTCTCTTGATCAGAAAGGCTGTGCTCTTAGCCAGTATTCAACAGGGAATGGGATTAACAGTAAAACATTTGCTCACCTAATTTTTCCCCCAACCTACACCACTCCCTCTTAAGATATTCTCTGCTAAAGCTGCTTGTTATAAGAAATGATAAAATTTATCTTTTAGGGAATAATCCATAGTTTCAATAGAGCTTTTGGAGTAATCCACAGAAAAAGTTCTGTTCAAAGGAGAACTTCAAAAGGACTGATAAAAGCAATTAAGAATAATAGAATCATTTATTCACTTACTTCTGAAGGTTTATTTCACTGTAATTTATTTTCTACTTTATTTTATATTTATTAGGACCTAGTAACTAGTAAAAAAAAAAAAGTCGAGACTTTTGTTTGCTGGAAAGGGAGTCTCAGAACAATGAAATAAACTATTTAAAAAGTAACCTCAGGCACCTGAATGCTAAGTGATATGTTTATTCATATCCTTATAGATATTAAATGCATACTTTCTATTTTCATGATCTAAACAGAGATAATAAATCAACATTTCCACATAATTTTTGAAACATAAATGCTTTCCTGCCTGAGAATATGGCTTGTGTATTGACAGTGTATGTACAGAGTAGGATATTTTCAGCTGCAGATAACAGAAGATCCCAACTCAAATTGGCTTAAAGAATAAGGACAAGTATCATTTCTCATAGCTGGAAGTTCAGAGGAAGGCAAAGCCAGGCCTGGATCAATCAGCAGCTTAATCAAGTCATCACAGACTCCAGGTTTTTTCATTCTTCCACTCTGCTGTCCCCAGTTTGGGTTGGATCCAAGACCACCTGCTGGATGGCTTTGGTAGTCCCACGTGTGACCCCCAGAAATGACAACATCCAGAGAAATGACAGAAGCTGTCTCTTCTCTTATCTCTTTTATTAGAAGCAATAAAACCTTTCTCATAAAACTCCCAGCACACTTTCATCAATCCCTGTTGGACTCTGGTCACATGACTAAAGCAATTGATGGGGAGTCAACCACCACGATCACCCAAACAGATACCAGTCGTTTTCCAGACTGCATTTCTGAAATAAAGGCCATATGTATGTCCAGATATCAAACTTCTACTATCTTTGGAAATCAAAATCTTAAAAAAGGATAAAAACCTGAAATTTTATAAAGGTGGGCCTTTTTTCTGACTGACAATGAATTGTCTCTATCACCATGGACCACAAGTACCACCTGCCCAGGATCAGTATTTCCATGTAAGAATTCCTCCCCTGCATTTCTCAAGAAAATTTATGTTTTCCAAATCCTGAATACCAAGAAAAGTCATCCAAGAAATTGGGAAAATGGGGAAAGTATTATAGTTCTTCTGTGAGAATGAAAGATTAACAATGAACATAAAGACATTATTAGCAGAAGGCATCTACTGATGTCAAGTCAAAAGCAAGACCGGGAAGCACTGACAGGTGGAGCTGAAGGTGAAGGCTGACATTTCTGGGGACCAGGACAGGAACGTGCAAGAGAGAGGTGACCACAGTCTCACTAGTCAGCCTTGCTGGTGGCTGTTCCCTTGTTATAAATGTGTGTTCCTGGGCCTTTCTGCTGCTAACGATGAGCCACCGCTGCCCCAAATACAATAAATATTAATGTTTGCATGTATAGTACGAATTAACACAAAATCTGTGAACGGTACATACCACTACTAGGAGATCTAGATGGTACATTTCAACGACCACAAAATGATGTTCATGACAATTTTCAGTATTTGACTACTTGCTGTAAGATACTACCAAAATATAAATGCCTTATTAATATCATCAAGAACAAATATTTTACAAAGGTTGCCAAACTTAATATTTCTTATTTATTGAATAAAAAGTTTAGCTATTCATAATAGTGAGTAAAGAGTATGAAGAATGTCGGAAATTATTTTTATTTCTTAAAATAACTTTTGATTTTGGTAATTCCTGAGAATTCCTCGGAATTTCAAGTTTTTATCTCCAGTTCCCAAAGATTAATGTCTCTTGGAAATCCAGAAATAGTACTTGGCCTCTTAGGCCCTTAAGAATTTTTGTTGAAAGGAAGAAAAATGGAGGTGATGGTTAGTATCCAGAACACTGGATCTTCTTGTAATGCAAGCAGGTGGTAAGAAGGAAAGAACTAGATGTAAAGTCAAATATGTTTGTGGCTGGAGAAATAAGCCAGACAGAGAAAGACAAATACTGGGTGGTATCGCATCTAAGTGGAATCTAAAGAAAAGTCAAACTCATAGAAAGAGAGAATAGAAAAGTGGTTGCCAAAGGCTCGGGGGTTGGGGGCAGTAAGGGAGAAGTTACAAAGGGTACAAACTTCCAGCTATTGGATGAAGAAGGGTCCAATGTAAAACAAGGTGACTATAATAATAAAATCATAATATGCTAATTAGACCAGAAGTCCTTCTGGATGACCTTCTGGACAAAGCTGGGGCTGCAAGGGAAGCCCAGATCCTGAGTGCCTGCCTGCAGCCAGAGGGAAGCCCGGGTCCTGGGTGCCTGCCAACAACTGGAGGGAAGCCCGGGTCCTGGGTCCTGGGTACCAGAGGGAAGCCTAGGTCCCAGGTGCCAGAGGAAAGCGGTGCCGGCAGCTGGGGGAAGGAAGGCCTACTCTTGCACAAATTTTGTGCATCGGGCCTCTAGTAGTTGATAATACTGTATTGTATACCTGACATTTGTTAAGAGAGTAGAACTTAAATGTTCTCACCAAAATAAATCTATATATATAAAAGCCTAAGCAACTGAACGATCAGTCGGTATGACACACACTGACCACCAGGGGGCAGACACTCAATGCGGGAGCTGCCCCCTGGTGGTCAGCGTGCTCCCACAGCAGAAGCACCACTCAGCTGACCGGCAGGCACCAGATGCAGGGCTCACAGCTGGCTGCCACAGCAGAGCAGCAGTGAGCCTACCAAGTGGTGGCGGTGGCAGGTGCAGCAGGGCTGGGATGAGCAGGAATGGCAGGCAGGAGCGGCAGGCAGGAGTGGCAGGTGCCATTGGACTGCCAGTTTTGGCCCGATCCCTGAGGCTGTGCTGAGGGACCCCATCGGAGCATGAATCCATGCACTGGGCCTCTAGTATACTAGTATACATAAAAGTGAGGTGGCTCATATACATATCCTATATAATAAAAGGCCAGCCACCGTAACGGCATAACGATTAGAATGACTGATCAACCAGTTGCTATGCGGTGCATTGACCACCTCTCGGTCCCTCCCCCCAGTTCGCAGGCTCCGATAGATTGCCAGATGGGAACCGGGGAACCGGGGTGGGTGTTGGCGGTGGGGCGGGACTGGGGACTGGTGAACAGGCAGAAGATGGCCCTGATCGCAGGGTAGGCCTAGGGACCCAACCTGCGCACGATTTCGTGTGCTGGGCCTCTAGTGTATATATATGAAATCACTATGACTGTACACTTCAAATATCTTATAATTTTATTTGTCAACTATTCCTCAACAAAGCTGAAAAATGCTTATTCAATAATAAAACTGCTTCCTTTCTCTTCTAAAAAAAAATTCTGTACCTGTGGGCAGCAAGTTTTGATGTTTCCGTGGAACGGCCTCTGTTCTCTAAAGCAGTAAAGGTAGCGGTCATTTGTTGAGAGGGAGAGTGGCCAGCAGAGGGTTTTCAGAGACTGGTAAGGGTTTACAGTTGCCCTTGGAGGGGATGAAAGAGTCATCTTGAGGACACCTAGCAGGCTTGTGAACATTTTGAACTCTTAGCTGAAGTCCTGAGCACTCAATAAAGTAAAGAGAGGAAGCTCCTGACAGGCAGTACCCCACGACCTTAGATTTTCTGTGTGGACACAGGGTGCCCACATGCAGACACACAAGCACACACATGCACACACTCTCAGCACAAACCCAGAGCAATACAGGAACTAACAAACTGCTATGAAATGTCCCCTTGGCCCGTGGCGAGAACTGTCACAGAACGGGAGGTCAGCGTTCCCCATAAACACCAGGAAAGAGACACTGCAAACAGCATGCGTTTGGAATAGGGAAAGGAAGTACTTTAGCAAATATGGCAATTGGATCTAGCAGTAGTACTAGAAATGACTGCTCTTGCTCATCCTGAACTCACCCTACATTTTACCTCCCATAAAACCATGCCTGTAAGCTTTTGGAAGAACCCAAATGTGGCTCCTTCGTCAGTAAACTGGGTCATGTGCCCTGGTTTCCAGCCTCAGCTGTGCCACTAGTTGAGTAAGTGACACTGGGCTTCTCTGGCTCCAGTTTGCTGCATGCAGGATGTTCTAGTGAAGGTCCTTGGGGTGGAGGCATTGCTCTAGGCACATTTGGTGCTAGATTGGCTTTCTGTTGCAAGGAACAGAGACCCACACAGGTCATCTCTAGTGATGAGGGTTGTAGTAGGAACACAGGAGCAATGAGGGAGGCAAGAATCCCAGGTGAACCCAGGCACAGCCATACAACCTGACCCTGTGGAACCTGGCAC